ATGGAAGTTGCAAAAGCCTTCAAAGTGTGCCAGGTGGTGGTGGTCTCAGAGCTAGGGCTGTGCTCATGATTGTTTTGACAGAAGACATAATCTCTAAATATGAGTCTTGGAGCAGTGTTGTCAATATTATTTTGCTGCTGAAAGATTTCATGTTATGATGTAAGTGCGAAATGAGACAGATATCCAGCACCTCAAATTTGCGTTCATGTTTTGCATTTGGTGTGCAGTACACCTAAGTCTTGGTCTTGTCTAGAGTTCTCCTGCAAGGTAGAATCGAAAATCCAAAGGCCATCTTAATGGAGTTATTCGTACACCTCAAGTTAGTGACTGAAAATCTTAAAAAGTTTTATAAAGACATTGTGTGACAGTATAATGTTATTTGATGGTGTGTAGAATTCTAATATAAGCTTTAGTTATCCATTAGACTTTTTATTCAACATATACTAGTTTAAAGAAAGATACAACTGTTATTATGACTAACTGCTGAAAACATATTTTTAGCAGATTACTATTGGAACCACTTAAATCGTACAACTGACTTTGAGCAGGTCTCAAACAGTGTCACACTGTTTGTATGGTTCCCTGTATTTTTAAAATTTCTATTTTGTAGCTAAAAGGAAGAAGAGTATTTATTTTATTATGTTTCAATTTGTGTATGACACCTGAGTTTGGACCCTTGGGAAAATTGCACAGTTTTCCGATATCCTTATTTCTGAGGATTGTTTGTAAGGTCATGCTGCTTTTTTTTTAAGCAATGTGTACACGTAACTCAACAGCAGTAGTTGTTTTGCCTACTAATTTTCCAGTGCCTCTGATGTGTAATTCTGTGTGTTGATATACAGTATTTGATGAACATGATTCACCTCCTGTCAACATCTGCCCCAAACTCTGCTCTCCAGCCATTTCCTCCATCTCTCCCGACAACTGTATGGTCTGAACCAGACTGTTACAAATATGGTTTTATCCTGAGTTGAATTTCCAATTCCCTCTCGTCATAAAGTCTGCCTGCTTCTAGTTCTGTAATATTGTTGATTGTCCATGCCCATTTTATATCTCAATTTGATTATTTGAGTGCTGTCTTGACCATCTTCCCACCTTTAAAGCTAAGGCAAGGCTATGTCTGTGAAATATATGCTAAAATGTTGTTTCTCTGATTTGAAACATGTTTTCTTTCTACATCCAACAAAACTATATGTCCTTTACTGAGAGAAAAGTATTGCAGCAGGACTAGGGCCATGGGGGTGAATAATACTCAGTGGCAACTCTAACAGACTGATCCTGTATTCTTGATTTGTCCATCTTATCCATTGTCCGTTGAAACCAAAGAAAGAGAGTCATTTAAGTAGATTAATTGCTCTATTCTACTTTAACTTAAAGATGTCATGCCCTGCTCACTGTTTGATTGGCCCCTTTGCTGAACCAGTTTTATTTTGAGCTAATGTAGTTGTAAATAATACAAGTTTCAGCAGTAGATAAACTGAGATGGGTGACGTTAGACAATGTAACCGAGGTACAAGGCACAAGTGAGGAGTAAGATGGAATATTGTCTTCTTGCCTGATGAGGGCACTTCCATCACTTGAAGCTTGACACCATTCAGGACAAAGCAGCTTACTTGATTGGCTCCCAATCTGCCACGTTCAACACACACTTCCTTTATGCCTAAAACAATAATAGTAGTGTGTACCATCTACAAGATGCTCTACAGCATTTCAGCAAGGCACCTCCAACAGCACTTCCCAGATCTGTGACTTCTACCACTGAGAAGGACAAGGACAGCAGATGCATAAGAACACCACCACCTGCTAATTACTTTCAAAGTCACATGTCATTCTGACTTGGAACTGTTCTCCTTCAGTGTTGCTGTGTCAGAATCCTGGAACACCCTCTTCCTAACCACACTGTGGGTGCCCATGTGCCTCAAGGCTAGCAATGATTCAAGAAAGCAGCTTGCCATCACCTTATTGGCAATAGACACTGGGCCCGCCAGCCATGTCCACATACCCACATTAATGAATTTTAAAAGAAAAAAGTGGAAGTAAATGCCCTTAGTGAGTATGCAGTTGGAAGCTCAGCTTGGGATCAAATGTGACACCAAGGTCCTGAACAGACTGATTTATCCTCACTGTTCTAGTGAGAGGTAGGAATCTGTAGCTCGGGATTGAAGTTTTGAGCAAGAATCAAAAACAGTGTCTTCCTCATAGAAACAGGAGCAAGAGAAGCCCATTCAACCCCTTCAGCCTGCTCACCATATGATTATATAATCATTGAGCTGAATACTCTAATCCTGCCTTCCACCCCCCTCCATATCCCTTTAGCCGCAACAGCCAAAGCTACCTTCTTGGAGGCGCGCAATGCTTTGGCCTCAACCATATTGTGGTAGAGAATTTCACAGGCTCACTACTCTTTAGGTGAAGAAATTTCTCCTCATCTCCGTTTTAAAACATTTACTCCATATGCTTAAGCTTTGACCCCTCGCTCTGCACTTTGCCATCACCAGTAATTTCCTTCATGCATCTAACGTGTCTAATCCTGTTTGAATTTTATAGGTTTCTATTAGACACCCATGTCATGCTTCCAAATCTGTCCTCAT